GCCTGTCTTCATATTTTTGGACCCCTCATGGGAGTTGAAATAAATTAGTTTCTAATGTAAATTATGCGAAATGACACCGTTATTTATTTTTATATATTTTTTGTTTCCCATTTTGTAACGATATTGTGCATAAGCGCTATGTGAAATTTTAATTTATTAAGCTATGCTACTCATTTTGCATCAAAGATCACAATAAGTAACTAGGATTTATCTTTTATGAAAATACCGACGATAAATTTCCCTCATTTTTGAATAATTTTCTACACTACCAATCCTTTTTTCACTTCCGTGCTTACAAAAAAAAAATGTACATAGTCCTGATAGTTATAGGAAGGTCAGTCCAGGTCTCGATATGTCAAACACACCACCCACAATTTGCTATATACATGTTTGCAGCGACATCTCGAGCTCAAACCATTGGTGTGTCTGAATTCAAGGCTCGCCGTCGTCATTTACTATCATGTTTAGATCCAAACACTCTACTTATTATTCTAGCTTCCGATGAGGTCACCTACTCACAGGACATTCTTTATCCACACAGGCAAAACAGCCTTTTTCACCACCTGTTTGGACTACAGGAACCGCTACGTCGAATGCTAAGCCCTCCAACTTCTATCTTCACGAACGATGTGCGGCTCACCTGTGGAGCCTTTATGAAAACGGATAGTGGATCCAAAACCTTTCTGTTCGTTCCACCACAAACGACGGATCCCTTGGAATTGACTTGGGCTTCTCAACCTAAAACTCTGGAGGATTTCAAAAGGATCCACCTTGGACTGTGCAAAAAGGGAGAGCAAAACCATGCCACTGCCGAGAACCATAAAAATACAGTTGAAGACCTCTTGTGGTCCGAATGCGTGCGTGTGAATGATATCAGAACCATTTCTGGTGTTCTTTATAGAGAAATTCAAGCATCTGCTCAGGAAAGATGGACAAACATAGTAAATAAGCACAGCTCACTTCCTTTTGGCGAAGAGGACAGGAAAGAAAGTGGAACACGCTTACTTTACAAGGTACTTGACCCCCTTCCGCAACTTCTCATCGAATTTCCGCCTCAGATACGCTGGACAAAACAGCACTATCGCCTTGAGGTTCCGTTGCCCACCACTAAAGTGAAGGACTCCACGAAAAACTGTAGCGTTGCATCTCACAGCGTCGCTTTCCGCCATCCATTAGAGGCCTTGATGGGTGTGTTACTTGCCTTTCGTTTTGAGTTTGTATTACCTCCAGCTCTTTTGACTTCTCTGCGTCAGACAGGGCCTCCTCCGGCCTTGGTATGTTCCTATTACTCCCCACCGCCTCTTCGAGCCTGGTGCGGTGTCTCGCCCCATGACAACACACAACAAGAGCACATCCGGCAATGCCTCGCTCTGGATGGTAGCGCATGCACAATCAAAACGGCCGCATGCGGCATGGTGAAGCGCACCGCCATTCGCTCAGCCGACGACACCCTCTGCCGCTATCGCCTCTTGAAGTCGCCGAAGCAAATTGCGGAGCACGTATGGAGCGCCGTGGCTACTCGTCAGGCCTTCCAAGCGGTGATGAGGCGTGCGGCATGCACCACCTCCGAGCACTCCATCACTGTCGCCTTTCACCAGGCCATCTTAACGCTCAGCGAACGGATGGGCCCTGGTGTGCGGGTGAACGCCGCCTACATCCCTGTTGTCGCCAGTGGAGTGCGTGCGACCGAGATTCACTACACGTGCAATAGTGGCGACGCGGATAAGGGAGATCTTCTCCGGTTTGACGGTGGCGTGGAGGTTAATCTGGTGCCAACCGACTGCACACGAACCTTTCCTGTATGCCAGCCTAGCTTCACCACAATCCAGAAAAGGCTTTACGGTGCCTTGCTACAAATCCAACAGGAGCTGATTCAAAGTATACAATCCGGCCTATTGGTCTCAGAAGTGTCCAAGAAGCATATTGAGTCTACAAAGAATATTCTAGAAAAACAGCTAGGGGTTAGAGGTGTTACTGAAAACCAGGTTCGCACCCTATTCTGTGCGCATGGTTTTGGCCACCTTATGGGGCTTGACATTCATGAGCAGTTTGTTCGGAGCAAGGATAAACAAAGTAGGGAATTCACTTTTTTGGGTGGAATGGTTCACACCATCGAGCCGGGATTGTATTTGCCCGATGCGAACCGCGCAAATGCATTCAACTATGATCTGAGTTGCGTTCCACAGGCTTTGCGTGGCGTCGGCCTGCAGATCGAGGATGATGTTTTAATCCTGCCTCGTTTTGGTGATGGTGCCAATGAACAATCTCCTTGGTCTCGGCTGGACTATTTGAATGAGATATTGAGAGTCGTTGACGAACTCTTGAAAGATGAAGACTACATCAGAGATTGCGTTTTCTTACGGGACGATAGGCTTCAACGCTACAAGACCTATCTAACACATCCTCAATTCGATGTGTTGTACTTTTTGTTCCTCCAAAGAACTTCCCTCTTTGGACTTCAGGAGGCTATAGAGGCTTTGTCTTTGGATGCCACACGAGTCCAAAGACACTTTACCGAAAGGAGACCGATAATAGAGTGGGTACCACCTTCATGTGGATGGTATCCTTTTGAGGTGGTGGTTTTGACAGCTTGCATACCAAAGGAAATACCACACATCGAGGACTATATGAGCAGAAATAGATAATTGTCACATCGGTGTTAGCTTCTTGCCAATATTTTTTTTGGTACAATCCCCAAATAATAATAAAAAGATAAGATTATTTCGCTGATATTTTTGTGCAAGCTATTCACTTCTTTGAGTTTATCATAGAAAATTCTACAGCTAGACCCTTCTTTTTCCGAAAACTGAGGACACACGGTCATTGATGATCCTTTATAATAATCCTTTAATTGTTTATCGAAGTCGAAGTGCTAGTGTTCTTTTGTGCATAATAACAAAGACGTAGTTATGGTAAATGGTACATTACGTGACGCTGCTCTCGTCTCTAGCTCAACGCCTGGCAAATGGAGAGGGACGACATGCATTGAGTGATGTGTTGGCCCATAGAACTTACAAGGAATGCCATAGTATTATTTCCTTTTACAATAACCCTTCAATCGCACCAGAAGCCCACAAACACGCGCTGCATGTGATGATTAATATCCCACAAACGCTTTATATTATGACAAAGAAGCAATCCTCTCAAATGTTCGGGATTTTATTTCTCTCACCTTATTTTAAAAAATCTTCAGAAGGAATCAAGCTCTCACGTATGTGTACTAGCCTTATTGTATCAAACGAGATGACATCTTTAACAACACTTGAACTTATTCTGGCGGCTGATGTTATTCTGCGCTATACAAATGAGAGTACGCAATCCCAAGACCCTTCCGGTATCCCGTTTAATACCTTCACCACCGATTCCTCTTCGTCTTCATTCTTTAATATACCGAAGATTTCTCTTGGACAAAGAACAGGAAGAAATAAAGATGAGTTCCCATCTGGAGGTGACATTCGGCTTGCTATAAAACTTCTTACAGAAGCCGTGCGAAGGATCCCAAATGATTACATCTGTAATGAGGGCTCGAGTTCTGAGGGAATCATGCCATGGGATTTGAAAAAAAGAAAGAGCTCATTGAATAAAATTTTAACCCTATCAACCACGTCGTCGTTACATGAAGAAGAATTGAAATTTTTAATGGTGTCAATTAGTAAATTGCAGACAATAACTAATATAATGCATTTATACGGAGTGAATGAGCAAAATAATTTTGAAGAAATTAAAAAATTTATACTTCTTCCCGTAGCCAAGGTACTGCCACGAATACCTTTCCTAATTCATTTACCGCTAATATTGAAAACCAGGCCACTTCATGATCATGAGATTTCCTTTCTAGTTAATATTCTGATAATCAATGAAAAAACATTTAGCGATATTGGTGCCCAGATGTTTCGGACTTTATTTGAGCTGTTAAAGCCAAGTAACTTTTTTATTGCATTCACAGCGGAGAAGGCATTAGGTAAATTTAACTTATTACTGCACAATTTTCCTATTTATCGCTTATTCCAGTCTAATGATATCGTCTTGAATATGTTTGAAGCGCTTGCGCCACTACTAGAAACACAAATTTTTTTTACGAAGGACTTTCCGGAGGGAGTGGACTTTGGCATGAAACATCCACATATTTTTTTAAGAATGGTGATGTTTTTGTTCACAGTCTACTCGACGTTTTGTGTAAAACCATTTGTGGATCAAACAGTATTTTCACATAACTTGTGTATACTTGAAAGATTAACAAAAAAATTATTCATGCGGCTTGAGGAAGCTAAATGTGATGGATTGGTTAGTGCCTATATGAAAGTTAATAAAACGCCCGTGGAGGTATATTTACTTCAAATCCTAATAAAAATGTACAGAGCCCGTAAACTAGCAAGCAGCCTCTTCGTATCGAATCATGAGCTCCGCACCATCTCTTTTACAACTGAAGAATTAATTTCTTCCATAAAGACTAAATCAAACAGTTTGATTTTGCTATTTAAAGAAGAGTCTAAGTTGAAGACGGAAAGTCTCAGGCAGCAAACTTATGAGCTTCTGAAAACTCAGGATAAGTTCAAGATTTGGGGCGACATGGTGGATTTCTGTCTTGAAATTCTCGAAACCGATGGCCCAGCTGAAGATGCTTCATCATCATCTAATATGGAATTCTACATACAAGTTTTACGATCTATTGTTTTTGTTATGCACTATCGTAAAGACTATCATTTTATTCTGAAAAATCTACACATTATCTTTCGAAGCTTGAATAAGGCATATTCGGGTCGCTGCTCCGTACACACGGAGAGGTTAAACAGCGGATTTACAAAAAAAGGTTCAACTGAGACCGACGCACTAAAGGAATTACTGATTGAAAGCTTCAATGAGTTACGCAACTACATAGAGCAATACACGAATGTGTCGATGTCGGATAGGAAGGAGATGTTTCTGGATGATCTAATGAAAGATTCGCTGATACCGTTTTCGCGGTTTTGCCTTAGCATAGCCATGGAGACCATCCAGCTTTCCTTTAACCTTGGCTTCCCGATTTCCGACTTGTGTTCGGTACCCACGCTGGAGTCCGTCCTCATCTTTGTCCTTCGCCTGAATGTGGGGAGAGGAGCTGTCACGGACCCCTCCGAGCGACACCAGGAAACGTCTATCCTCCTGTTGCTCATCAATGGTATTCTACAGGTGGGTTTGAACAGTGAGAATCTCCTCGCCGCGATCGTCACCGCGCTCCGCGGGGTGACCTTCGAAGACACCTCCAACCTTGACTTGTCAAAGATCATCAGCATGGTTCGGACGTTATCGTCTATCCTCTTAACAGCGGTCCAGCATCTGGGCATCTCGTCCGGACATCGGCAGATTTCTCAGCAATGCCTCGTCATCGTGACGCGGCTGTGTGTTTTGAACCCCCCGACAAACAAAGAGCAGGAGAAAGGGAATAAAATAAACAGCGAGAAGTTACTTATGCAGATGTCGTTCGCTGAGATTGTATGGAACTGTGCGATGATTATGATGAGGTCATCCCTACAGTATTCCCTCATTGATAAGCACCTGGCTGTCATGCTACGCCACGTGCGACGACATTGGATGCATCCCATCCTCAAGAGCTTGCCTCCGCCAAAATCTATGGATGAAATAATTTTCCTAGAAAAAGTGTTGAATACTACAGCGAATAAAAATAGTGATTTTAGACAATCTTTCAATTTGCCACCACCATCTATCGGTAGGAATGAGAACGGCGAGGTCTTTGGTTCACATGCCTTTCTTATTTATGCCAACATATCGATGCTCGGCTTTATACGCAAGTTACGTTTTATGCTCATGGAAACCTCAAAAAAGAATATCGATACCAAGAAAACTCGAATAAAGCGATATTACGATGTTTGTAACGTTTTTTCCGAAATATTTGAACATAATAAAAATTACATGACCCCTTCAGTAATATATTCTGCTTTCAATGAGGCCTTTTTTTTCTCTTCATTCTTTCGGAAATCGGGTTATTACACACCTATAATGCAACGCCAACTAGAGTTTTGTCTATTATGCACCTTGTCGTACGTCGAAGCTTGTGATAACCAAGGAAGTTGGGCTAAAAGTTACACGGGTGCGGAAAACACCAAATCACTGGACAAAGGAGGCGGAAAAGAGGTAGTACCAAGTATGGAAGCCTCAGAAACTACTGTAAAAAAAAAAAATTACTGAGTCCTAAGGTGATTATCAATATCTTTGCCGAAATAGGAAGTATTACTAGCATCCCCGCTCGTCGTTTTTTGTTTCAACTTTTAAACGACGTCATGGAGACGATGGCAATACCTGAAGCTGATGACAACTCAACAGAGACATTAAAAAACAATATGTCGAACATGAACACTGTGAAAAGTGAGGCTGATTTATATCGGAAGATAACATTTTATTTTCGCAAAATGCGAAAAGCAATTCGATTTGTCGATGCAGGTTAACGAATAAGGTATCCAGTACCTAAATCTATCAAAAAGATGGAGAGCGTTGTACAGCATTTAAAAGTTTCAGCGTAAAAGAAAAAAAAAATGGAAAAATGAATAATACTAAAGCAAAAAAAAGGCTTGTTGCCCAAAAGATGCAGAAATATCTTATCCCTATAGGCGAAAAGCTCTCGCGGTTTCACTTAGCTATGAGTTTGCATGTCTGCTTAGCTTAAAGTGAGCATTCCCTTCCACACCCTTCCCATCTCGAGTTGCCTCATGGTACTTTTATGCTATCAAAAGGACATAACTTGAAAACCTTTTGATGATTTTTTTACTGATTGGTTATATCAGCAATAAAGTATCCTGATAAGTATCGAATATCACACTGCTTTTAATCTACTGTAGTGAGCAATAAGGTGTGGGGACAGGGTTGTATGAGATTGCCACCGAAATATGTGCAGCTCAAGATCTTTAAAATGAATAAGAGGCCTGCTATTACTCACCCATCGTCTACATTCTGCCTATATGTGTTCGTTTTTAAGTGCGTTCAAAAGCAAAGGAAGAGGT